AGCACCTGCAATTGATGTCGTAGGGTCATAGAGATATACAGATTGGAAACAGACTTTTCGGTCCAACTCATCCATGCCAACCAGATATCCTATATAAATCTAGTCCCATTTGCTAGTATTTGGCCCATATCCCTCTACCCAGCCAGATGCCTTTTGAATGTTGTAATTGTGCCAGCCTTCACCACTTCGTCTGGCAGCTCATTCCATATACGCACCACCCTCTGCATGAAAAGTTGCCCTTTAGGGCCCTTTTATATCTTTCCCCTCTCACCTTAAACCTATGCCCTCTAGTTTTGGACTCCCCCCAACACTCCAGGTAAAAGACCTTGCCTGTTTACCAAATCCATGCTTCTCATGATTTTATAAACGTCTATAAGGTCACTCCTCAGCCTCCGCTCCAGGGAAAATAGCCCCAGCCCATTCATCCTGTCTGTATAGCTCAAACACTCCAAACCTGGCAACATCCTCAAATATTTTCTGAACCCTTTCTGGTTTCACAACATCTTTCCTGTAGAAGGGAGACCAGAATTGCACGCAATATTCCAAAAGTGGCCAAACCAATGTCCGGTACAGCCACAACTTGACCTCCCAATTCCTATACTCAATGCACTGACCAATAAAGGCAAGCCTACTAAACGCTGCCTTCACTATCCTATTTACCTGTGACTCCACTTTGAAGGAACTTTGAACTTGCTTTCCAAAGTCTCTTTGTTCAGCAACACTCCCTAGGACCTTAGCATTAAGTGATGTGATGGTTGAAAGCCAATAATCTCAGCCGCAGGGCATACCTGAAGAGGTTCCTCTGGCAAATATTATTTGCGCAGCATCTTTGCTTTGTCAGTAATCTTACCTCCATCCTAAACTAAACAGGACTACTCACTGATTGCATATTAGTGTAAATGTTTGTCATTTGCACCTCCTTAGGAAACTGAGCCATCTGTTCCAGGCTGCTGCAAGACCTGGACAGCATTCAAGTTTGGGCTGATAATATTAAGTCCTATTCTCGCAACACCAATGCCAGACCCTAACCATTTCCAACAAATGTTAGGTAATCTAACTACATCCCTGTGATATTTAATAACATTACAATCTTTGAATTCCCCACCATCCTGCGGGTTGCATTGGCCAGAGGCTTAATTAGAAGAAGAACACAAACACTGGCTACAAAAGCCGTTCAGAGGTCAAATATTGTGGTATGTAACTCTCAATCAAACTTGCAAAACCTTTCCAACATGTGCAAGACAAGTCAGGAGTGTGCTATAATTGTATCCACTTGCTTGGATGAGTGTAGCTGTAAAAGTTCACCCTCTAAAGATGTCTGAGCATTCATCGAATGAACCAAGAATGTGTTCACCTGCACCCTCCACCAGCAGTAGAGACTTGCACCTCAGTGGGTGTTTTATCTGGATTAGGTTTAGGGGCACTATCTAGTGAGCATATCGTTGATACCTTGCAGTTGGTTGGGAAGAAACATCTGCAGTCTCTAGCATTTGGAGGATTGCTAAGCTCTCGCAGAAGATATGCATCTGTTTCTGGCTGTAAGCGACATACTTAATTTGCAGAGACACTCGTGGAACATTGAGCAGGTGTGTCAAAGGCACTCTGTATTCTTCACAAAAATGTAGAGGTATTCTTCAACATTCTCATTGCTATGATCGCTCTGGTATGTGCTGACTGTATCTGTGCAAAGAATGAGAGGCACCTTGGAGATGCAGTTCCAGCAGACTCTTCAGTTGGACATCTGCTTGGCCCTGCACTCCAGCAAATTTGCCATCAAGCACCCATGGCAAGGAAACAGAAGTTGGATCTGCAGCTAGGTAGGGAAGGAGGGGAAAAAAAAAGCACTCTGAAGGCACACTAGTGGCATAGGTCTATATAATAAATTATTACCTTGTATCAATTTATTTTTGCTTGCGTACACTACAATGTCTGTTTATAATATTTTCATTATAGAACCAGGTTTAAGTCAGATCGATGTGACAACGGAGTATCTTCAGATATTCCCAGAATGTAAGATATTGCAAATGTCCAATATTCTCATCTATCAAAAGCAACAAAATTTTTGTCTGCCTCAGAGTCAAAGACTAATACAGCATGGAAACAGGCCCTTTGGCCCAAACTGGTCCATGCTGACCATGGTGCCCAGTCAGCTAGTTCCAATTGCCCGCATTTGATGCATATTCCTCTGAACCCTTCCCATCCATGTACCTGTTCAAATGTTTTTTAAATGTTGCTATTGTACCTGCCTCAACCACCACCTCTGGCAACCCATTTCATTTACACACTACTGTCTGCATGAAGAAGTTGCCCCCTCAGGCCCTTCTTAAATTTTTACCCTCTCACCTTAAACCTATGCCCTCTAGTTTACAATTCCCATCCCTGGGGAAAGAAAAAACTATATGCATTCGTCCTATCTATGCCTCTTATGATTTTATACATCTCAATAAGGCCACCCTGCATTCTCCTATGTCCCAAGGAATAAAATCCTATCCTGGCCAACGTCTCCCTATAAACTCAGGCTTACTAGTCCTGGTAACATCGTTTTCTCACTCATAAGGTGTGTGAGAGTACAGATCAGTATTGATTAGGAGATGATGTTTCCATACATGAAGTTTTTAAGAGACCATAGAGACATTAAAGGATAGGAGATGTCGAGTGGGCAGAGGTAAAAGCAGCCTGTCAAGTTAAGGCCTGTCATAGAGGATGTTCAAGCAAATCAAGACAATGTTAGTCTCCATACTGTGAAGCATTGGAGTGATGCCTATAAAAGAAGGGTCAAAAGAGCTTTCTCGTGATGGGTAGCTGTTGAGGGAATGGACTACAAAAATCCTGCCATATCTTGATCGGTGGTTTCAGAGCTATATGATATTAGTCCTGTGTGTAGAGCAAATTATGCATAGTTGGTTCAATAGAAGATATTGCTGGCACACTGACATGGATAGTGTAACATTTAATCCGCAAGACAAAAAATGAAGGACAGAAAACCAACAAATTAGTCATATCCTTTATGCTAAGTTAAGGGGCACTCACCAGATGAGCAATTTGGATGTAACCAAATGAAGCCTGAACCTGAACCCAGCTCAGTCATGCTTGAAGTGGATGGCAATAAAATAGTCTCTGCATACCCCCCACTTTCTGAAACATTGCTCTGCCATCCTCTTGTCGATATCCCTCATTATTCTCCTGATCTTCAACCTTAGTATATTTCTTACAGGATGTTTTTGCTGTCTTATTTTGTCCACATTCAGAATATCCCTGGTTTAACACCTCCAGTAGTAGAGGGCACAGCATATTCATGATGCAAGAAACCCTGTCTGGACAGTTGTTTTCAAACATTTTAACCTCCCCTTCAGTCTTTGATCTGTTTAACTATATCTCTGGTGGAAGTGTGAACAGAGTTGTACATTAGTTCTGAATCAGTCTATGTACTTCAGTAGGCTTCTTGGGCCAGGCTTTGAGGGCATATCCCTTGTCTCCCAACAGTTAACCTTAGAAAAGCGGAGGCATCTGAGTGATCCAGTACGATTTTTTTTTTTTAAGTTCACTCATGGCATGTGGGCATTGCTGGTTGACCAGTAGCCTGTCCCTAGTTACTTGCGAGAAGGTGTTGATGAGCTGCTTCTTTGATCCGCTGCTGTCAGTGTGCTATAGATAGATCCATAATAGCATTAGAGAGGGAGTTCCAGGATTTTTAATCTTTTGTAGCAGCGTTGTTCCAAAATTTGAAGATAAAAGTAGTGAAGCCTATAATTCCTGGTTCTGACCATTACTCTTAGCTGGGCAGATCGACCAAGCAAGCAGCTTCCCTCTGAAGATTGCAAGGCACCTCTGGAGGTTATGTTCTTGCTGAGCTTGCTGAAGCTCTTGTCTCTGCTGTCTCCTCCTCCTGTTTGTTCCTAGTAAACACAAGGCCAAAAGAAAGGCAGACATAGCATCTGCCATTTCAGCTCTGTTCAAATATAATCTGTTGGGAAAAAGTTCGATTACATAATGATTTTGAAGAGATGCCTGAGCCATTCTTGATAATCTAGTTGAATGGTAAGTTCTTACACAGGGCTGAATGATATGCCCTCGCATGGAAGCTTCCCAAGAAAGTTGGCATATGTCTCAATAAAGAGCTCTGGAGTATGAGAGTTTGCTATTTGCAAATGGGCAAACAGTGTTCTGTTCCATTTGTGAGTAGGTTTCTGCCAATAGCTTTTTAGTATACAAGATTTTTAATGACGAGGCAGAGTTTGCCTGCCATTAACAGATCGAACACCTTGTGTGCTAAAAAGCAGGCTAAGACACAAGATCCTGGCTCCATGTCAGTGGTAAAAATACTATATCAATGCATACAGGTCCATACAGGTCCTTCACATCCCTTGATAACAAGGTGTAGAGCTGGATGAACACAGCAGGCCGAGCAGGAAGGCTGACGTTTCGGGCCTAGACCCTTCATCAGAAAAGATGATGAAGGGTCTAGGCCTGAAACGTCAGCTTTCCTGCTCCTATGATGCTGCTTGGCCTGCTGTGTTCATCCAGCTCTACACCTTGTTATCTCAGATTTTCCAGCATCTGCAGTTCCTACTATCTCCTTCACATCCCTTGTTCATGCTAAAAACTCTCAAGTTGTGAGAAAGTTGAGCTGCCACCATGTCTGATGATATGAGTATGCTTATTAACTGTTGAAGAACCTAGTGTCTCCATTAAAAGAGAAGCTAGATGGCTGGTACAGACTTTCCACAAGCTGCAATGCATGCTGACAGGTGTAGGTGTTTAAATAGTTAAGGTTTTGCGTGCTCAGTTGTGGAGAGGAAGATTGAATGTATGGTATTAAGTGAGTTGCACTATTACTGAAATGCAAATGTACAGAAATGAGGTTATCAGCAAATGAAGAAATTCTGAGCTCATCTAAAATACAAATTTGCAATTCTTTAAAGCTTTCTTTTCATTGCAAGTACCAGAATTTTCCTTTAATGTATGCAGTAAGACAAATTCATATAATTTGTTTTTCCTAGGTATTCTGGAAAGAAGCCTGTCAATTTGGGAAATAATACAAGGCTTGTGGAATGGATGCCCCAAAATGATTTACTTGGTGAGTGAGTCAGGAAAAGGCTGGGTGTTTGAGAGAGATTCTTGTAGAACATAAATGCTGGTATTGACCTTCTTGGGAAAAAGCCACTTTCTACACTTTTTAATTATTTCACTTCTAAAGCACTTTGGCTTTGAAGAGCTTTGGAACTGCCTATGGTTGTGTAAAATATCACAGAAACATGTTGCAGCAATGACTGTCTATATGTCCAATTTTCTTTTGAAAGTATTTACTTATCTGTTTCCACATCCTTTCAGGCAGTGCATACAAGTTTTCTAATTAGATACACTTTTTATTTCCTATCACTTTTCCCAATGAACCTTGAATCTGTTACTGATCCTTAAGCAACTAGAAACAGTTTGTAATTTATCCTGTTGGAGCTCTTCACGATATTCAACAGCTTTATCAGATGGTATTACAACTTCCTGTCTAAGAGCAAGGCCAACTTCTCTCATTCACATATTTGAAGTGCTGTAACCCTGGTACCAGTCCGTAAAAATCCACGTGTACTCTCCAAATCCTTGACATTCAAAATTGTGATGGTCAGAATGTGATGCAGTGCACAAATGAGGAGTTGATTAGTGATTTATTAGTTTATCAAAATGTTGCTTGTGTATTGTAAGCATTCATTTATAAAAATCAAATATTCTGTGGGTTTTTAATAGACTTCAAAAAGGATTTCAGGTGTACCCACATATGTTTGCTTCCTGAAATCCCTTTAAAATTGTGCCTCTTAGATATGTAAAGTATGTCCTTATCTTACCACCGAAACACTGCGCATTTGTATGCTGAATTGCATCTATCACATGTCTGCCAATCTATCATCTTCCTCCTGAAATCTGTTGCTATGCTGTGCTGCTTGTGTGGTGGTGTTGTAAACCAGATACCAGTCTAAAGGTCTGGGGACATGAGTTCAAATCCAACCATGGCAGATGGTGAAATTTGAATTAAATAAAAACTATTAAAAGCTAATCTAATTGCACTTATTTAATATTTTTCAAATGTTGTAAAAACCAGTCTGTTTCACAAATGTCCTATAGAAAAGGAAATCTGCTGTCCTTAACTGGCCTGACTTGGCCTACTTGTGACTCTAGGCCCACAGCAATGTGGTTGACTCTTAGTTAGCTCTCACGGCCATTTCAGAGGGCAGTCACTTCAGGGGCAACAGATATAAACCTTGCCATTGACACCCATATCCTATGCAAGAATGGTGGGGGGGGGGGGGATAAAAAGGTTTTATTACCAGAAAATGTTCAAATTAAGCCTTGTACGCTTGCTTCGCTTCCTAAATATGGTTCACCATCACTGTCAGCGTTTTGCTGCAAAGCAAATATTTTCTACCTGCAATGTCACTTTTCTGTAATTCCATGGATGTTAGTTGTATTGACAAGCCTATTGTGTGGTATGACATGAAATGTGTCCATATACTCAGGTGTTTTGGATTTATTGGTGATCCTATGAAATTCCAAATGCATCTGAGCCCAACTACTTTGCTAAATGTTAAAATCTTTTTCTTCCATACAAGTGAGTTGGTTTGTTGACAATTGCATCACTTAGTTCAATTTACAAATCCTGAGATAATGATACCATTGCCAAATTCCATATCAACATCTGAGGGCAACCATTGACCAGATATGCGACTGGACCAATCATATCCATGTTTGTCATTACTGCTACATTAATGGGTATTCTACAACAAATGGCACACTTGACTTCCCAAAACTTTTCCACAATGTACATGACACAATTTGAGATTGAAATGGAATGTTCCCTTTCTTTGCAATTACAAAAACACTTGAAGCTTGATGCAATTCTAAACAAAGCAGTCTAATTGATGGGCAGTTGACCTACTAGGCTAAACATGCACCTCCAACATCATTCGCATACAGTGGCTACAGTTTGGACTGTTCATATTGCAGCAACTAATCAAGGTAGCTTCAACGACACCATCCAAATCTACAACCTCCACCACACTCAAGGGCACCAACAGTGTGTGAATCAGGACAGTATTCATCATTTCCACGATTCTCTACGCGTTCCTGCCTTGAACACAAACAGTTCTTCAGTCAGGTTTTTAAAAACGAAATTCGGAACCATATGAACTTCTAAAGAATTCTCTGCAGCTCCAGCTTGGGGATTATTGTTTTTTGTGGAGAACTCTGAATAAGGCATTAAAAGGCTTGTGACTACAGTGAAAATTTTTACATGTATGTTTCATTTTTAAGCCCCTACTTGGAGCACTTTAATCAAATTTATGTTTAATGAACTTTTTCAGAAAGCGTGTGGATTATTTTTAGCCTCAAGGTTACAATAAATTGTATGTAACATGAGATTAAAATAAATGGAATGTGCAACGTGATTTCTCAGTTCAGCATTCCGCACTGATATTCCTTTAACAATAAATTCACAACCAACAGTTATAGCAGTGTGGGTATTTTCCTGCAGGTAATTTAGGAAAAGTTGGCACGGATCTTCATAGAATGCATGACCTGCACATAGTTTGTCTCGTCAATAAGAGACAGCAATCAATGCACTTTGGACTACATGTGGTACAAAGTTAAAATACACGAAATAATTGCATCAAGGCTGACAGAGGACAGCAGAGTTCTTCTGTTCCTTCCCACCTCTATGTCTCTCAATTTTACACCCCCCGTCCTTCAATTCAATGTGTTTGATGAATGGAACAGACTCTTGTCAAAACGAATCAGTACTGCACAGATTAATCTTGAATTTTGTTCCCAGTTTTGAAGGAATTTAATGATTAAGACCAAAGGTTCTTATCTTGATAGGCCCGTTAAAGTCAAATAAATGGTTCTTGCTGTTTTCTGTAGTACTTTTGGATTTGAGTGATCTACATCGATTAAGTTAATGTCAAGAAAGACTAATTGTCTCATTATTAGGGGGGCCAAGCTGGTTCTGCATGCTTCCACTTTTTAGTGCAAGGATCATGACATGCATAGCTACCTTGAACCCACAGGGCATCAGTTTCTCCTGTTGGTTTAGATTCTTTTTCATTCGGAATTTTCTAGCTGCATTTTCAGAAGTATGCCAGATTTCCATAGGTTCCTTCAAGTATCTAAATTCTAGCCTGGCAGACTTTGTGATAATGCCAAGAATGCAATTTCTTTAATAGAATTAATAAACAATGATTTTAGTAGAATATTTAAAAGCTAAATAAAGCATTGCTGTTGGGCCATTTGCAGGAGAATTCTGATTACTTTTTTCTTCCATAATTGGAAAACAAATACATTTAAATATGAAATCTCAAAGCCTTCTTGCCCCCACCCCCATACCAGAAAAATGTTCTATTTATATAGAACTTTTAACAGAGTAAACAGTCCAAGGCCCTTCACAAGAACCTTACCAAAGTTTCACACCAAGCCAGGTGAGGAGATGATAGGCCAGATGATGAGTAATTTGGCCAAAGTGATACATTTTTTTTGGGGAGGTGGAGGGGGGAGAGAAAGATAGAGAGAATGAAGGACAATGAGACTTTGGGAAGGCTTTTACAATTGCATTATACTATTAATCTAAACCGTACAATCCTGGGATAAACAACATTTAAGGTAGTCTGCCTTAGGAGTACTTTCTCATTTGAAAAATGTATTGATCAATGGGCAGCATTTCTGTTACAAATAGTTTGTTCAGATCTTGGACAAGTCTTTTTTTATGTGTTTATTTTGTTTCAATATCCTTCCCTGAAGGAAGCAAAGAAAACATGCTTTTTGTTGAATTGTATTGTGATGTTTGCACCAAATGTGATGCGCATCAAACTAGATGTACTGTATTGGTTTTGAAGATATTTACTTTTGAAGTATATTGCACTGACAACTAATAGGTTTATTTGTGTGATTGTAGGTCATCCAAACATCAGAGGATTTCTAAGCCATGGTGGTCTGAACGGTATCTTTGAAGCAATGTATCATGGTGTACCTGTAGTAGGGATCCCTCTTTTTGGTGACCACTATGATACAATGACCCGCGTGCATGCCAAAGGCATGGGCATCTCATTAAACTGGAAAACAATGACAGAACATGATCTATATAACGCAATGTTGACCGTTATTACTGATCCACGGTAAGGGGATGATTTTTTTTTTTGTTGAGTATTTTTTTTAACAGAAACAGCTGACTTCTTTTGCAACTGAAAAAGAAAAGGTGAACAAGAAAGTATATAGAGATTTTAAAGTTAGTCATAAGAGAATACACAGATGTCTGTTTTTAAAAAGCATGCAAAATAGAAAATAGGTTTTAGAAAAGTTATAAAAATATTTGGTTGCATGTTTGAAGAGTTTGAAAGTAATTTTAATTTAGGTTGCAAGGTGTTAAAGTGCTCTTTTACCAGAATAATGCTGCGTATTAAATGGTAGCATGATGGGGATGGGTTGCACAGAAGGTAGTGTCCTACCTTAAGCTCAGAAGGCTGAGAGCTGATTCATCAATGTATTTAAAGTTATAAAAGTGCTTTGATAGAATAGATACAGTGGCGCCATTTGCCCTGGAGGAATCCTGAACCAAGGGATGTAAGATTACAGCTATGGCATTTGAATGAAATTAGATGCTCTTTTCTCAAAGCATGATGGATATCTGGAACTCTTTTATCAAAAGGGTCCAGTACACTGAGATGATTTGAAATTTTCAGTACCAAGGGTAACTAATGCTTGTAATGCATTTCCCAGGGAGGAGATGATATTCAACAAGAACAATATGTTTTAGCAACTTGATTGACATTTGTCTAGAAATTAATTGAGGAAAACAGTTCATAGAATCCCTACAGAGCAGAAAAAGAGGCTTTGTGGCCCATTGCATCTGCACCAACCCTCCAAAGAGCAACCTACCCAGACTCCCTGCCACTCTGTCCCTGTAACCCCACATTTACCATGGCTAATCCACCTAACCTGCACATCTTTGAACTGTGGGAGGAAACTGGAGCACCCGGCAGAAATCCACACAGACACTGGGAGAACGTGCAAACTCCACATAGACAATCACTCGGCCAATCACGGAAGCTTGGAATTGAACCATGCCACCCTTATGTTGGTAAACAGCATATTTTGTCTTGAATTCTGACACAGACTAGATACCCAAACATTGTGTTTTTATGACTTGTGCATTTCTAAGGTTCTAAAACTTTAAATGAGATTGTAAATTAAATTCTTGTAATTTCCTGACCGTTTGCATTCAAAAGCTAATACACTCATCCACTTCTGACCTTGACCACCCAGTCTAACACCGGCACTTCCGCATTATGGTTAATGTACTCTATTGTGACAAGTAAAATGTTATGTCCAAGCATAAATATCACCAAAGGTTAATATGATTTTAGAAAATAAGCTGGAACAGTTTGCAGACATTAGAACATTTTTTTTTGTTAATGTATGGAGGTTCAAAACTAAAAATTATTACTTACCAGCATTCTTGTCCTAGCTTTTTGGAGCCAGTAAGGACTGCAGATGCTGGAAGCTAAAGTCAATAAATGTGGAGCAGGAAAAGCACAGCTGGTCAGACAGCATGAGAGGAGCAGGCAAGTCCATGTTTCGGGCCGAAACATTGACTTTCGCACTCCTTGGATGCTGGCTGACTGGCTGTGCTTTCCCTGCCCTATCTTTTCTCTGGGACACAAAAAAAAATACAATTGTCAATCAGTTATTGTCTGCTTGCCACCAAATGCGTGTTTTTTTTTTCAGGAATTCAAAATTGGTATTCAAATTGGAGGGTTTAAGCTATAATGAGATGCTGAATAGGCTGGGGCTATTTTCCCTAGAGCATTGGAGGCTGAGGGGTGACCTTACAGAGATTTATAAAATCATATGGGGCATGGATTGGGTAAGTAGACAAAATCTTTTTCCCTGGGGTGGGGGAGTCCAAAATAGAGAGCATTGGTTTAAGGTGAGAAGGGGAAGATTTAAAAGGGACCTAAGGGGCAACATTTCATGCAGAGGGTGGTGCGTGTATGGAATGAGCTGCCAAAGTTAGTTGTGGAGGCTGGTTCAATTACAACATTTAAAAGGCATCTGGATGGGTATATGAATAGGAAGTATTTAGAGGGATATGGGATAAATGCTGACAAATGGGACAAGATTTATTTAGGATATCTGGTAGGCATGGACAAGTGGACCAATGAGTTTGTTTCTGTGCTGTACATCTCTATAACTCTATGAATTTAAGTGACAAAACCATAAGAACTAGGAACAGGAGTAGGCTGTTTGGCCCCTTTAGCCTGCTGTGCCATGCAATAGAATCATGGCTGCTCTGACATTCTGCCATCCACTTTCCTGCCCTTTCCCTGAAACCCTTGATTCCCCTACTCATCAAGGATCTATCTCAGCCTTAAATATGCTCCTCTGCCTCTGTGGTAAGGAGTTCTAAAGAAACTCACTTCTTAAAAACAATTTCTCCTTAGCCCAGTCTATTATTGACATCTTTTTGTTTTGCGACATTGCCCTGTGCCCTCTAGTCCTAGACTCTTTCATGAGGGAAACATCCTCTTCGCATCTACCCTGTCAAACCCCTTTAGAATCCTCTCTGTTTTGATGAGATCACCTCTCATTCTACTAAACTCTAGTGAATACTGTACCAACCTGTTTAGTCTTTCCTCATAAGACAATACCACCATACCAGGGATCATCCTAGTCAACAGTCTCTGAACTGCCTCCAATGAAACAATACATGTTCTTAAATAAGGGGATCAAAACTGCTCTTAATACTCCAGATATGGTCTCATCAGTAGCTTGTATAGTTGCAAAGGGACTTCCCTACTCTGTACTCTAAACCTTTTGAAATAAGGTTCAAAATTTCCATTAGCCTGCTGCACCGGTATGCTAGCTTTTTGTATGCTCCCAAGTCCTTGGTGTTGCAGCTTTCTAGAGTTTCCCTCCATTTAAATAATATTCTGCTCTTTAGTTTTTCCTCCCAAAATAAGTAACTCTGCATTTTCCCACATTATAGCCCGTTGCCAACCTAACCGTAAGTCCATAACATATAGGAACAGAATTAGGCCATTCGACTCATCGGGTTTGCCCCACTGTTTGATCATGGCTGGTATTTTTCTCAACCCCATTCTCCTGCCTTCTCCCCATTGTTATAAAGCTGAGGTTGACCCCTCTCTGAGAACTAACACTGACTCACCCAAAGGGGAGTGCTTTGCACTATAATCTGTGAAAAGTGGTGTAACCTGCCTGTCAGCAACTTCTGGTGGTTATATAAAATAAACCCATTACACTCACTTTACAATCAAAAGTAACAATTTATTTGTCTAACTGTAACAGTGAACAAATTAACTAAACTATTAACAAACCTAATAAATATTTTCTAACTGCTAACTATTCTCAAATGAAACAAGATTCTAACAGTATGCTAAACCAATAAATACATGTCCCAGTATTATAAAAGAAAATGGAAAAAATAATTTAATCTCCCGGAATTACAGCCAAGTTATGTGTCTTCTGGAATGTTCTGTGCCTTCTCTCTGAAATCTTTAATGAGAAATCTTAGCTAAGAGTGCTGTGCTCCTTTGTAAATTGATGGTACTTTATCTAAGAGTTGAGAGCTGTTATCTCTAGCAGATGGCAGTGAGCTCTCCTGTTTTTGCCCAACTGCTCCTTCTTTTATACCCATGATGATGGATCAATATTTCTTACAATAGGATTGGTCCTATGTTGTCAAAACCATCGATTTAAATTTAATTGGTTTTTGGTATCTAAGTGCCTGGTTCAGATTAATTGGCTAATTTAAAAACTTGTTGTCTTGATAACAAAACAAAACTGCTGCTTGGCCTGTTAACTGTACAGCCTTTCGATACAAATATTTCACTTCAGGTACTCTGCACCTGCAAACCCTCAAGCTGCTGCCCACAGTCAATCTTTTTGAATCTTTAAGTATTAAAAAAAAACACATCCCCTTTTAAAGGGACCATGCTTTGCTCCCCCTAGCATTTTACAAATACAGAATTCTAATTTCCTGCCTCCTAATCCAAAAGTACTCTACCCGGCTTCACAACTCCATAACCCATGATCCCCCTGCCAATCAAGAACCTATCTATATTTGTCTTAAATAGACTCAATGACTTGGAGAGCAGAAGGCCATGGAATCCTTTTCAGCCCTACTCTTCTCACCCTGTCCTCTGTGTCTCCTCCTTTCTTGCAGCACACCCTCTGACTTGGCTGATCACAAGTTGTTATTTCTATTTATAATTTCTCTCTTGTCATTGCTGAAAATTAATTTTCCCAGAAGATTGGAATGGCATTTTAGGGGTGAAGTAACCCCTGCTGTATTCAAGCATTGGTTGGAGCTAGTAGTTATTTGCAAATTTTCACTGATGTTATACATTATAATGGCTGAAAAAGCCTGTTGATGCAAAACTTTTTTTTTTATTTTGTTTTTAGTTACAAGCAACGTGCTGAACAGTTATCCCAGATTCATAGAGACCAGCCTGAGCATCCTGTGAGCCGAACTGTTTACTGGATTAACTACATTCTTCGTTACAGTGGAGCAGAACATCTTCGTGCTGCTGTTTATGATATCCGGTTCTACCAGTATTACTTGTTGGATGCAATTCTGCTCGTTTCATTGAGCTTTATTGTTGCATTCAAGATAGGATTGTGGATAGTAAAGCTGATTGCCAAAAGGTTTTCATATAAATTAGTGCATGGTAAAACTAATGGACACTGCTACAATGGAATAGCAAATGGTAAACTTCGGAAGAATGGTCACATCAAATATGAAAAGAAAGTGAAATGAATAACCTTGTCTATCCTCTAATACTGGGATATTTTTAACAGTTAACTATACTGTTGGTATAATACTACCTGTGTAACACACTACTGACAGCATTTAGGAAAATAACTGTTAACATTCTTCACCATTTAACCTCGTTTGGCCTAAAATTCCATGTGCTGACTAAAGGACCGATGAGCACAATTTAAAATGCAATATTGTATATCTGATTCTTGGCATTTCTGCACAAATTACTTTGGCACTGAAACTATAAAGGGCCTTAATTCTTGGAGCATTTTATTATGGATTTTTATAAATTGTTTTGCGATTTAAGTGTTTTGTGTGCCCCACTTTTTTTAAAAAAAACACAAAGATGAAGGGTTTGATACTTGGGTAAAATTCATTCTGTTTAATTTATTTTTTGTTTTATTTTTGGAGTTGACAGAGGATTATGTTAGCCAGGACTGCATTGAATAATACACTAATCCAATTGTGATGGTGGTCTAGTCAATTATTGGACCCATATGAAGATGTTTTACTTGTTGATGTTGAATACTTTCCTTCTGATGAAAAACCGGGTGGTAAGATCTGCTGAATACTAAAAGATTGAATGTTTTTCACCATTTGAGATTTTTTTAATAGGTTGGGCACAAATCCAGGTATCCCTCACAAGCAAATCCTTCACAAAATCAGTCAGCATGTAATTTAATCATCTTGTCAACTAGTGCTCAGTGACAACAGAATGTTCACCTTTTAGGTTTTTTTTTTGAACTTAATTACAAATTGTGGAGTTGATGAGGTACAAACCTATTGTGTATCTTCGAACGTGCTAATGTCATAATTCACAACTGAGAAATGAAGCTCTGTTATTTACAACATGAATTAAACAACACACTTTTAGGTGCACAATTTTTTTTTACTTTAAGTGCTCTGCAAATCCCATTTAAAAATACTGCATTTGTGGTGGGTGACGACGTTTCCAACATCGCATTTCATTGAAATTTGGGTGTATCACCTATTCTACAGAGTAGATTTTTAATGTAAATTAAAACATGAAATACAGCAGTAACAATTATCCATCATCATCTGATTTTAGAATATGTATTGAATAAAAAGTGGTTTGAAAATTAATTTTTCAACAATGTGCTGGAAAGTTTAGGTTCCATCATGAATGGACATTTTGGATATATGAACCAAGGTGATGGTTTATATTCTCTTATTTTTGCTACCTCTTCTTGGTCAACTCTGTTTTGATGCACAACCTATAAATAAGAGGTCATATTTGCAGCACAGATGAAACAGCTCCATGTATTGTTGCCCATCACTTGCCAAAGTATTTTTACATGGTCTTTATATTTTCTCATTAAAATATAGATGAATTGTACATCAAAGGCTATTAATTTTCAATGATTTCATCTTGGCAGCTTCCTGTTGTTTTGAACGTCTTTGGGGCACACAATTCACTGTTGTGTAACTGCTCTACTTAATAGAACCCAGTGCTGCTTCCTGTATCTGTCATAGTTTGTCTACAGTGTGACGTGTTTACTTGCAATATGTAGTAGACCTGCTGTGAGTGTAAATTTTATTTATTGTAATTAGAATTCACATGTCTGACTAAGAAAAGCAGAGTGTTTCAATATTCAATATCACTATTGCCTTCTTGATTTTCACTAATTTGTGACCCAAATAAGGATTGTAACTTTCTTCTATCCCACTTGGAGCCACAAGTGACCACTGAATGTAGGAAAATAGACAGGAGTATAAACAGCTAATAATTTGAAGTAACCGAACAAGAGAAAGTTGATATAAAAGTTTAATTATTTTTACTTCTGTTCAATACTGTCTGTGCAATACTGCCATGAAGTGGCCATTGGCAATGCAGATAAACTGCTTTGGAAGGCAATGAGTGGTGGGGTGATAACTATGTCATCTTAACATGTACTGTATGCAGATATTTGTTTTAAAGTAAAATAACAGATACAGTGTCTCCAGGCTGAAGGAAGTTGAGCTAAGCTTAAAGCTGTGATAAAGTCAAGCAATAAGCACTGATTACATAGCCTGAAACCTTTTTTTATGTATATATAAAAGTGTAAATGTCTAATTACAGCTACAGTTTTAAATACATACACTTATCTGTTATTGCAAGAAAGTTAAATAAATGCGAAACATTAATAGTTGTGTGCATGCTTTACAATTGTTAAAGTTATACACAGTTGCATTACATGCTTATATAGCCAGAACATTTGTGGAGTATTTTATACTTTGCCATGTTCCAAAGTTCACCTTGCACTCAGAAATGCAATGAGGTTTGTCTTATTTAGAATGGTATTTTCATATACAGTGCCCAGAATTGAACACAGTAAGCAAAATATGGGTCTGCCCAATGATTTGTAGAGGTGTTGCGTCACTTCCTTACTTTTTATACTGCTTATAAACCCCAGCTGCCTTAACAGATGTTTCAACGTGCCTGGCCACCTTCAAGGAGGGATGTTTAAAGTCCTGGAAAGAATGCAAAGGAGATTTACTAGAATGAAACAAGGAATGAAGGATTTTTAGATACTAGGAAAGATTAGGCTTACACCCAAGGTTCCACAGGTAGCAGAGGTTTTGGCCAGATGATAGTTTTCAGTGATCCCTGAGTAATGCCTAGAGATATCAACTTAGATTGTATCGGAATTTGAGTAGCGCTGAAGCTGTGAATTTGTCTCAGTGTGAGCACTGACCATGTTGATGCACATCCATAATCAAAGGAGAGCTGCAATCTTGAGTGAGTGTCAAGAGGTGTATTTGCATGTCTTGACATCTCAACTAATTACCTAATGTTGCCTCACTGATATGAAATTTGCTGTTTTCTAGGTAATGATGGGAAACTAGATGGCAATGATTCCCAACATGAAAGTCTGAGCAGGTTGCTAGCAGCTCCAGCTTGACCCATAGTTCTTTTAATCTCTAACATTGGCCAACATTCCCCAACATTTTGGGACAAGCTCCATGGACAATGACCACCTGCATTCTTCATCCACAAAGATTGCCATTGTAAATGTACCAGTATCGCCTCACCATCCTGACGCATTACTGACTCTCAGAATACAGTTCACCACTTCATTTTGGAGTGCACGAACACCTTTCCTACAGGATCAGGCACTGACCCCCTGCATCTTGGGGCTCTTAGCATGCTGTCTTAGCACTCACTAATTTAATACTTTACTCATTGCATCTTTGCCTTGTTTTTAGTGCAGGTACAAAGCTGATCTTGTCATGATTGCCAGTAGTGATCAATCAAAGGGTTTGGACGTGTTGCTGTATGGCAGCATGTTACACTGATCACACCTAAAGCAGGTGATGGTGGCAAACAAACTGCTTCATAATGGCCATGGTTCAAAACCTGTGGGAAGTAGTCCTCTTTTTAAGGGGTTATCATCGCTTGCGTCCTCCATAGTCAGGTACAGCATCTGATCTCAGCCCAGGGGCTTGTGTATGTCAGTAGACCTCTTGGGACGGTGTGTTTTCATATCATTACAGTCCAAGCTGGGGCCACAGTCAGTCCAGCAGACTCAGTGCAATCAGTCAGAGGACCAGTGGCAAGTCTGAAATAAAGACAAAGTGCTGATGAAACTCAACAGATCTGATAGCATCTGAGGAGTAGGGGTGGGGGTGAGGAAAATTGTTTCAAGTCTGGTAAGTCTCTTTTGGAACTGAAGGAAGCTGGAAAATGATTCTTTTTATGCTAATGACAGAGCAGAAGAAGGACCTTAACACCAAACCCAACTTTCCCCTCCCCCGTCAACATGCCGCAGGGACTGTTCCCTCTGAGTCACCTGGCCTACTCTTCCATCACTGCCAACACCACGTCTCTTTCCCCCATGGCATCTTCCCATGTAATTGCAAAATGTGTGACAGTTTGCCCTTTCAACACCTCCCTCACCATCCAAGGCCTAGAACACAGCTTCCAGATGAAGCAGTGTTTTACTTGTGCTGCTTTTAATCTTGGCTACAGCATTCACTGCTCACAATGCAGTCGCCTTTATGTTGGTGAGACCAATTATAGCCTGGTCACTCTCTGCCCTTAGTGTACTAGTGTTCTAATAAAACTCAACACAGACTGAAGGATCAGCATCTCCTCTTCTGTATAGGCACCTTACAGCCTCCAGGACTCCATACTGAGTTCCAAGCCTTCAGTGAATGACCTTTGCACTCTCCTGCATCCCCAGCTGTATCTTCTTCTAAAGAAAAGCCATACTGGGCTAGAAAAGTTAACTGTGCCTCTCTTCATAGGTGCTGCCAGACCCGCTGAATCTCTGTAGCATTGTTTTTATTTATATATATTTCCAGCAACTGCAGTATTTTGCTTTTGTTTGTGTTGTTGGCTTCAGTCTTAGCAGAGTGGACCCATTTTCTCCTTATCACAGCTCACATTTATGCCTATGTTACATATCTGGTGCTCCTTTACCACCATTACCTTTTGTCTCTTGCTGCTACTCCCATTCTGTCACTGGTAGATATAAAAAAAAAATTGTCCCGTTCCTTTCAGTTCAGAATGTACTGTACTCAATGCCAATTCTGTTTCTCTCTCCATGGATACTGCCATCTGCCTGAGTTTCTGTAACACAGGTTTTTTTCCACAGAATTCCAGGATCAGCAGTATTTTTGCTTTTGGTTAGCATTAAAGCAGTTAGGGAGCTATACAGTGATCAGTCAGGAGTCTGACCACTCATCAGTTATGGCTGTCTTTCCAGGTCAGGCAGGAGAATAAGCCATGGTCAATCCTGGGAGTCTGTTCCCTGAAAATCAAGAGGGTTATCAGAGACCACTGCTATGTTGGGAAGTTGGGGATACCTATTATAAGGATTTGAGGCAGCATTCTGGAATGTGAAAGGGGCAATACTTATGATTGGGGCAATTTCACATCAAAGTAGGGGACATGAGAGGAGGGTCAAAGATAGTTGTGAGCATCCTAGCTTTGATAGGCACAGTACATCGCAATGATCGGCATGCCTATACTGTAGGCCTAAGAATTGGTGGTAAAAGTGGGAGATGAAGGAGTTGGGTAGGCATTTGTGTAAGTTTGGAGTTGCTGGGTTAGCAGGGAGGGCAAGGCAGAAAGGAGAATCAAGGTTTGGGGTGTCACCTGGATTACCAGGTTGAGCCTGCCATGATATAGATGTGATCTGTACTGTTTTCCATCCTGTTTCAACTCAAATGGACATTATGAATGAAGAACATGTGCAGCTATACCTGGACTGGGTGGAGATTTTTTTTCCAGTCTGAGGATGCAAGCTGTATTGTGTTTGAAGCTCTTTAATGCAATCACCCCTCGATCAGGCACTTACCTGGTATGGTTTGAAATTTGCATTATAATGCAAATTCTGCATGGGGAACACACGCAGAAGACATTCCAAGGTCTCATAGGCTGCACAAGAGTTCATGCAGATTTCTTTTCACCTTGAACAATTTATCAAGCTGCTCTCATGCAATGCTGCCTTTCTTGGATGATGTGGGTAGTAAGGGGTGGAGGGGAGGCAGGAGCAAGCTTTCAGTAATCCTGTACTTAATATCATCTGTAATTGTGCAGTAAGACTCATGCTGTGTACATCAGAATACGGTTCACCGTGTCATGCGTCTACATGCTAGCATTCCATTGCCTCCTGTTGGAATACTCCATGTCCTACTGTGAATTATATGTGATATGAATAGTGAGTGCTCACCATGACATGAGGACCTTTTTCCTGTTTCTGATGTTGTCCACACAGGTTTAATGGAAACCAATGGATCTAGCCATAGCAGGGTTTATTGTCACTGAGGACATAGTTTCTCTGCACCTTTGTTGCGCTGACGAACAAACACACTTGTACGCCCAGAAGCTGCAGCTACTAAACAGTCTTCACGTTAGGCAGCCAAGGTTCCCTCAGGATGCAGACGATGTAGATGAGGCCCAGAACCTATTGTCTTTGATGCCATTTCCTCCAGATGAACCAGCTGCTTGCTGCTGGAGGCTAACAATGACCCAGGATACCATAATAAAACTGAAGTAGCACTTGCAAACTGAAGGAATCCTATCCCAATGGCCATCAATGTGAAACCTGCGCTAAATTTTTATACAGCCTGCTGTTCCCAAGAATCCATTGGGGACCCCGATCCACAAATGTATCAAGACTATTACTGACACAATTTGTACCTGATCATACCACTTCATCTCATTTTCCCCATGATTAAAGTCTGTGCTGCAGCCCAGGTGGTAAGTTTTTCCAAAACACCTGAAGTCCCCTAAGTGCAGGGTGCTATAGACTGTACACTCTGTGCCATATCATACTGTAGCAGACTTCCATACCAGAAAAGGCTCCAAGCAGAAATATTTTCTGCATTTTTTTTTCCAGGGTGGATGCCTCATAAGTTTGTCTGCTGGGAAATGAGGATGATCTTCTGCAAACAGAGTTGTTGACTCCATTATGTAAGCCAATGACTGAGGCTGAGCTTGGAAACAATGCAGCCCATTTATCTGCCATGTTGAAGCAGACACCAGGCTTTTTGAAAATGAGGTTCTGATACCTGGGTCAATCTGGGGAGCCTTGCGGTACAATTCAGAGTATGCAGTGTATTCCTCACATGCTGTGCTCTGCACACATGGCAAATAGGTGATATGGTAGATGCTGAAGAACTAGGAGAGCAGCAGCAATCTTCTGAGGAGAAAGACAAGGACATTTAATAGGATAAACAACACCTTCAGCAAGAGCAGGACTTCATTGACACCCAGTTCAGATGTGAGTTGGGATCATCACCTGTTGACTGCACATTTGGTGCTCAAAAAGAAAGTTGTCTGTTTATTCCAAAAAGCAGATACAGCTTTTTTTGTGTTCATTTTTTCTTTGCTTTTATTCAATAAAAAATAAGTTCTTAACTGTTTGAAGGCTTTCCAACATGTGATACTTCTACATCAAATATTGACAAAATGTTGTGCTATGCTGGGTATTAGGTAAAGAGCAGCATGACTTCAGAAAGGGCTTTAATATGACATGGTGCTAACCATGGGGACTCTCTGTAGCTTCATTCTCAGAGCTGCTGTTACAATGACAGTCCACCAGACAGGTGATATTAAAAAAGCAACATATTTGATTTTGAGATTCTACTTCCAATTTATGTGACCTCAT